AAAAAAATCAAATGCATTTAAATTTCCCCGCCACAGCCGGGGAACAACAACTCCAAGAGAAGCCAACAAATCACCATCATCTCTCTGTAATCGTATTCCCCAACCTGTGATCAACGACATCTCACCAATTCCACTTCATGATGTCTCACCAGATCCTGCTCCAAATCTACAGTTGAATCAACTTCATAATACTTTAAAATTTGAGCAATTGTATTTTTACAATTGCTCAAATTTTAAAGTATTTGATAAAGAAAATAAGGAAAATAAGTGAATCTCGAGATCTTAGTTGAGATAGATGGGCATAACTGATTGTTTAGTTAGATTTTAGCGATTTATGAGTCGGAGACGAGGCCGCCGAAGGCGTATAATACTTTAAAATTTGAGCAATTGTATTTTTACAATTGCTCAAATTTTAAAGTATTTGATAAAGAAAATAAGGAAAATAAGTGAATCTCGAGATCTTAGTTGAGATAGATGGGCATAACTGATTGTTTAGTTAGATTTTAGCGATTTATGAGTCGGAGACGAGGCCGCCGAAGGCGGCCGAGTCGTAGACGAACGGTGCCTCGTGCGCCTGTACTCCACCAGCGTTGAATTCAGCACTTCTCCGCCTTAGCACGTAATATACTATTTCATCACGCTGTGTGTAAAGTGACGTTTTACTCACGCTCCGCGTGTGCAAAACCCCTCTTCCCACACATTGTGATGAAAACAAGGTTCGATACTCGCGGGAAAAGTGTTTTTAGACTCGCGGGATTATATCACTCGCCTTCGGCTCGTGTTATAAACCTCCCACGAGCCCAAAAATACTTTCCCGCAATCGCATAGAAATATACTATTCTGATGAATATGAGTTTGCAGCCCGAGCCGAAGGCGAAGGTTGCAATCATATGAGCTACAAAAGGCCTTTTAGACCGTATGTCGAATAATCTTTTTTGTCATAACGGCTGTAAGCAGCGATTTACGAACGCATATCACCATACGAGTAAAAAACCCCACCACAGCAGCCCGGAAAAATACTATTCTCCCCGTGCACATGAAAATTACCGGACATCAGAAATTTTTTTCCTCAAAAGAATATAGAAATCAATCGGTCAATTTCTATTCTTTGACTGAAATTCCGGGAAAAGTTACCAAAAAGCCACTGTGTGCGCCTTCACATGGATTTCGATTAAATTTTCATTACATTTTTATTTTCCACGTAACAAAGCAATGCATAATTTCTCAATTTATTACTCTTCAAAATCCCCCTTAATCCAAAAATTAAAATGTCAATAAGATGAAAAGAACAAAAAAATAATCCCACATATACCAGTCCCGATATATTGTTCAACTGTTCAGCAGTTCGTGACACGTTGAATAGTTTGGCATTCCAGGGCCAGGACATGGGGTGCGCGCGACCTCGCAGTCTTACCACGGCTTAACTCTTGTTCCTCTCCTCGCGCTCACCTACATTCGTAA